CAGATGTTAGCTCGGGGCCAGTCTTCCTCAGCAAAAAGAGAAGGATTGGAGGTGGATGTTGGCTCAGGGCCAACCTTCCTCAAAAACAAAATTTATTGTGATAAAAACACAACATGAGAGCTACCCTCTTAATGAATTTTAAGCATTGAATACATTCCTGTTGACTAACGGCACAATGCTGTACACAGATCTCTAGAGCTTACTCATCTTACTTAACAGAAACTTTATACCTGTTGATTAATAAACCCCATCTCCCCCTCCTCTAACCCTGTAACTACCATTCCAGTCTTTGATTTTATGAATTTGACTATTTTAGAACCTCATATAAGTGAAAGCATGTAGTACTTGTCTTTCTGTGTTTAGCTTATTTCACTTATAATACTGTCCTCTAAGTTCAATGAAAAAACGTTTAAAGAGAACTTTCTTTTTATGCAATACTACACAAAATAATAAAATTCCCAATGTTTTTTCTCAGAGGAAGAATGTTGACTCCTTGCTCTCCATATGTTAGCAGAGATTTCATAAAAATTTTAAAAATTCAATTCTAGAACAGATGGTCAATCTGAAACTAATAAAGATATCTAGAGAGCTGAATTATTACTTTTACCAACTCTAAAAGGATGGTGAAAATCAATTTAGTTTAAAAGGATGATGAATTAGTTTGCTTACACTGACAGGAGAGGGGGGATACAGTACTGAAATGCCAGCGCACTTAAGAGTGCTGCGTATTACAAAGAGCATCCAGTTAAGCACTGGAATCTCACAAACTCAGCTTACGTAATCCTTATTTTCTCCCGCCAGCCTTTAATTATATGAGAGAACAAGCTCAATTTTGATCTCTGATTGTGAACAGTGGATGCATTCAAGTTCACTTACGTAAATTTTAAGTAAAAACTTTAAATTTCCTGTTTTCTGAAGTAATAACATAAAAGATATGTTCAGATACTTATAATCAGATTTCGTTGAGTGGAATTTGATCTATGATTATAATCTCCCTTATTTTAAGATCATTGAAACTGCCTTTTAATAGACACCAAAGTATGCAAAATGAATTGTTTTCCACCTTCATGGGAAGCAAGAATCAGAAACAAGGTACCTATGATTTCAAGAGCCCCACACAAACAACTTTAGATTATCATTATTGAAGATATCCAGGCTTCAGCCGTATATCAACATCATTCATTATTCATCAGCATCATATCATTCATCAACATGAACCATATATTGATCATTCATCGACAACCACACACAGCTAATTTTCCTGATCTGGATTGCAGAAAAAAACTGCACAGAGAGTCTACTTGGGATCTAACCCTGGTTCTGCCATTAATCTGATGTACCACAGGGCTTCCATTTTCTTATCTGCAAAATGAAGGTGCTCCACAGGTGGTGCCCGAGCTCGCCTTCACTCCATCCCTCCCATGGCCCATAATGCCTAATTCTGAGCACGACCCTTTATCGCTCAAAAATGTGCAAGAACTCCCACAATCCAAACTTGGACTTCCCAGAATATGTGCTTCCCATTTCTGAGTGTGTTTCACACTGTGAATTCAGCCTGCAACAGCACCCTTCTTACCTTTACCTGTTGAAGTCTGACTCATTCTTAAAGGTCTAGCTCAAAGGCCAAAGATTCCTTGAAGTCTTCCTAATTTCTAAACCTGAAACTGACCATTCTCTCCCATGAACATCCAAATAGTTTGTTTACATGTTTTTAAAAATCTGTCTATCTATTAATAATCCAGTATCTTACTATCTATGGATACATTTCATCTCTTCTATTAAATTGTAAACTCCTCAATGGAAGAAAAGTCTTATTTGTCTGACAATATGTGGTCATTCCCACTCTCTATACCAGTCCCGTTCTCATTTTTAACAGCCCCCTGCCCCCAATCTGCCTAATCTAAGAAGATGTCTGTACTTCTCTTCTTCCTCTATTCCTGAACGGCTCTGATACCTACTTTCCTGAGTTAGGTCCCAGGCTCGAACCTCACCACTTTCAGGACCCAAGTGGGTACCACAAATAGCGTAAAACCACAAGTGGGCAGCTTTAAAGATGTGTTTGCTGGGTGGGAATCACAGGAGCCATCAGAACAACCTAGGGGCCATGGGCAGGGTGACCATATAACTAATTACCTGAACAGAGACACTTTTAAGGGTTAAAGGGAGAATTAATAATTACGCTGGGACAACAAGTGTATCAATAGGGTCTGTGCCAGGAAAGTTGGGATGTGCAGCCATCCCACGCATGAGCACCCTTTTCCAGCCTCCATACTAGATTAAGTGTTCGCATCCCCATCATCAATTCCTTCTCTGCACTCTCCCTTCTCACAAAGAAACTGGCATATTTCTGACATACCAGTTTATTAATAAGAACGTAGACACTGAAAAGTAATCACAATCTTGATAGCATAAGTATCTACCTGTAGACTTAGGAAATATCACGGTCCTGCCCTCACCGGAGGGAAAGCTTCAGCAGTGTGGACAGGCAGCGACACGGGAGTTCTGGAGGAGAGTTCTCAAACTACCCTTACTTCTCATTTGGAGTCTTCAAGTCATAAGTGGGAAGTCAACAAAGTGAAATAAGATCTTATTTCTAAGGTTAGTCTTGGGTTAAGCTCAACATAACATTACAAAAATAAAGAGCTATATTTAAAGTTACAGGCTGTCCAAGACCTCAGTACATTTCCCATAAATATTTAACCTACTCCTTTAGCTAGCTTTAGTAAATTAATTGTCACAGGTGAGAAACCATTAGGTCACTAAAAAAAGGACTGAAAATATTACAAGAGTTATAATATTGCTGTAGCAAAGGGATAACTTTAAAAATTCAAATTATAATAATTTAATTTTAAATATTTTATAGCTTAGTTTATCAGAAGGAATTAGAAACAGAACAAATCAATAAAGCTAGCAGTATAATGCAGCACAGTTATTTCAATTGAACATTAGTAAGAGTAATTTCACAATTTAAAAAATTTAAACAAGCTAATACATTCTGTCTTATGACTTCCACAACAACACACATTGTTAAGTTATATGCAAACAAGAGTTACATATAAAGTTATATACAAATAAGAGGTACGTAATAAGTGTCACCATCTACCAGTCCAGGAAGAGGAAGGGGCAGGGAACCAAGCAACACTGAGCGATTCCTGTGTCAAATACTGTGGCGGGTGACGTGGAGGCTGTTGGTATCCATGAGGCTCTCTAACGCAGACCCTGGGAACCTAGCCACGATCACACTCCTGCTCTGGATTGGCTCTCAGCCCCCGAGCTAGGTCCTGGGTACTAACCCTTGTCCAGACTATTCTGTTATCACCTACATGGGGCACCACCACCCCTCTCTCAGGAAGTTCTTGTTTCCATGAAGAAATGTCACTGAGTAAGTGCTACACAATCAGTGCAACACTGAAGAGGGTAGGTCATGTTAGATTTTGGTCAATAAAATAGGTCTGCAAAATGATTTTCTTTGTGGCTTAAGCTTAAAAAGCGTTTACAAATATCAGCTAGTTACTCTGGCTTCCCTCATAAAACTTAAAGAACTGGGAACTAACTAGGTGGCCTGGGTCACAGAACGCAAGAGCTCTTCAAACTTTTTTGTTTTTGCCTCCTTTTCCTATCTTTCCCTCTTTTTCCCCAAAGGAATCTCACTGTAAGCTTCCTGTTGATTTAACTCCCTAGCTGCCTCCAGTAACTTCTAGTCGACTGGACGGCTCCCTGAGGTCAGGGGCCATTCACGCTCATCTCTGCGGCCCCTCAGCACCCAGCACGGTGCTTCCCCCAGTGGGTATCAGATATATTTGCCCCTGCTCTTCCTTCTTTCTGCAGGTTGACTGTTGCTCTCTGTAGTCTGCCCACAGTGTCCTGATTAATTTTGTTCAAACCAGTATTTCCCCAAATTATTTCACCATGGAACCATGTGACATTTACCAACATCCTAAGAAACCAAGGTTCCTCAGAACAGACTGTGGGAGATGCTGACCTAAAGCGCCTCTTCTTTTCCTTGAATTGCACAAATCCTCTGAAGTGCAGCTTTCCGAGCAAGTTACAAAACAGCCAAAAATATTTCTAAGGCGTAGGATGCAATCCCATTTTGTCTTTGACCACGGCAGGCTACACCAGAAGAAGCCTAGTGTTTTGCGGTCTTAGCTCGTGCTGTTAGTGTGGAGGAGGTGGTGGGTGAGGCCTCTTACCCCTGAGCACCCGAGCGGTCACAGTCGATGGCCTGGCCCATCTGGGAGGGGTGTGCCCAACACCTCCCTTAACCCTGACAGGCTGGAGGGTAACCGCCAGCGCTCACACCGAGTTCTGACAGCTTTATCTACGTTGTGAGCTTGAAATGGGTGTTGTTCATCCACTAAACGCTCCCTTGCAGTTATAATAAATCAAAAGGTACAATAAGAGCAGGATGCGATTAAGAAAATGCAAGATACACCTTAAGTACAAATATGTAATATTCTAGGTGTCCTGAGGATACCTCATGATTGTTAAGATGATTACAAACTGAGGTGCCTCAAAGCAGCTGCCGTTAGGAAGGAAATCATGGCACAGTAGAGAATCACATGATGGAAGCATCTGCCCCTTATAGTACTTGAATTTATTTTTTAAAAAAAATCAAATTTCTCATCTTTACCAGTTTCAAAAATGAAAAAAAATAAAAATGAGTGAATCAATGGTTGGTTGCAGGGGAAGATAAAAACTCTTTGCTACATATATGTGGAAAGTAGTGTATCCTTTAGAAATCAATTCAGATATAGTTCTTGAAAAGCTAACTACTGTTTAATCCAGCTGAGGCACGCGTCTCTGAATCCTGGTTTCTAAAACAACAACAAACACTAAACTCTTTCAAATGCAGCAAGGTTGGGGGATAATTTCCCCAGCACAGGTGAATGAAGGATGAAGGGGGAAAGCACACTCTGCAAGAGCTCCTGAGGACGCCCAGTGGATGGTCCTCGGATGCCTCTCTCGCTCGCTACATCAAAGTACAAAGAACTACTCACCATGTCGTAAGTTGTCACAATCTTCTTCAGAACCTCAGGCACGATGCCCTGCAGCTCCATGGTGGGATACTGCTCGCTGAGATTCAGGACCACGAGGGGTGTGTTATCAGGCCCCAGAAAGCGGGGAGACACCGCCAACATGCACTGCATGAGATTGGCCACGGAGGAGAGGCCACACAGCTCCTTGAATGACACCACTGCATTCTGTTAAAGGGCAAGAAAGGAGACACTCTGTAATTAACTGGGGGCTCTAATTTCTCATGGGTGTGATATTTAATATACTCGGCTATACCTGAACCGCCTGGTACAACAGTTGTTAGCAATGTTATGACAGAACTGGCTAATGATTATTTCATCCTAGGAAAAACGGCTATTCTCCAAAGTCAATATAGTTATAGATATTTGTAATACCAATTTATCAAAAGTGCAGAAAATGCAAATAAGTTAAATTCTTCCAAAGGGCAAAGCCTCTTTTCAAAGTTCACAGCAAGTGCTAATGCTGATATGCAATTATGAGCAAACGGAAAAGAATGGCTTCTGTATTCAAGAAAGGTAAAGATGAAGAAAAAAAATCAAACCAGGTTTAAAATAAGTCTCAAATATGCCAGCCATCCAAAAGGGAAAAGAATATTTGTGAGGCAGAAACTTGAATCTCTCTCACCTGGATGCCTGCTGGTTCCAAATCTAGAGGAATTCTGAGGAGGCTGTGCGTTACCGGGGCCGTCTGCCCAGTGGAGACCAGGGTTCCCACGGTCTCCCTATGAGTGTCTCCACTGATTTCAACGTTTCTCCCCCTTTCTTTTTCCCTAGTCACCAGAGGTATGCCATCAAACATCCATTAAAGACAACACTTCACCCGGTGAACGGCCAGAGCTAGCATTCTTTCAGCACGGCCTGATGCTGAGCTCCGGCTGGCGTATGCATCAGACCTAACCTCATCTAACCTGCTCAGCCAGCCCGGCACAGGTGAGGAAACCGAGCCTCGCTACGACCTCTGTGTGTCACTCGTCTAAGGTCACACAGCTGCTAAGTGAAGGAGTCAAAATTTTACCTGAAATCTGTTGATGTTGAGACCTAGGCTTTTAACCATTATGCTATAATAACAGGTAAATTCTCGTTAAAATAGGAGCCAGGCGTATTATTCCAGGCACACAGGTCCAACCTGGGCTGAGCCAGGCGGCGAGAGTGGAGGGATTCAGGCCCTCCAAGCCCTGTGCCTTCTGCTGTCAGATACCCTGGTTGTGGGAAATGAGTAGCACTTTAGGTTTAAAGTTAAACATTTTCTTTTTATTAATATTGCTTTAAACATGGACATCAAACTGTAAGTCATTTTGCTCAAAATCACTTCGATGCTGACTGCTTATAACAGTAAGTCACTGCCGTGATGTCTAAAGAGGGGTCTCGCATGCACTCCATCACACCTCCGTTTGATTTTCTTCACAGCACCTGCTTGCATCTGCAGTCGTCCTATTTGTTTATTCATCTGCTTAGGCTCTGTTTCTCCTCCCCACTGCTCACCCCCAACCAGAGTCATCTGTTGGTTCACTGCTGCATCCTCACAGCCCAGACCGCCTGTGCATGGCACGGCAGGTGCTCATTAACAGAGCCACCAACCCCTCTGTTGGGTTCAGCGCAGACACGAGGCTCTGGAAAGATGATGCTCAAGTTCCGGAGGATCCTCAAGGGAACTCTGTGTCACATGCACACAGCAGCCGCTGGGCACAGGACAACGTGGCCTGCTCAGAGCTGCGGGTTTACCAAACCATTCTCACCCTCAGAACAGGAAGAGCCCTTCCCGTTTCTGTTATGCATTTACTATGAGAGAAAGAGAATAAAATATCTCTGTTGTGGGAAGGTCTTCTTATTAACGGAGTATCCATCGAATCCGCAGAGGAATGAGCTATGTTGAATTCTCTGAGTCAGATTTTTACTCGCTGGTGGCAGTCCTCTCATAATATTTATGTGTTTTTACATATATAATCAGCTAACGTTATATGATTATATATATATATTTTTAATAAACTCACACTGAGCAGCTGTCACTCCGACAGCACTTCTCACACTGGGACAGGCTAGGGCCGGTATCTCTGGGGGGTGGGCCCTTGATGCCTAGGTCTGTATCACTTGTGGGCTGTCGAATACTGCTAGACATGTGGATGATGCTTAATTACACACATAATTCCTAACGGATTGCTTTAAGCCATTATACAGTTCAGAGGTAATTATTATCTTAGACCTCTAATAAATACCGACACCACATCTTTTACTTAAACAATTAAATAGCTGTCTTCTAAAGCCAAGAGGAGGCTCCATGTAAACACGCTGGCTCCTTTAAGGGCTTGCTATTTTCCCAGCATTGTAGCTCCCTGAGAAAGGACTAAAATATGCCCCTTTTATTTTGATAGGCCATTAATTTGTGTTCCAGCTGAGGAATATTCAGAAATACCAGAGATTCCCCTGTACATTATTAGAGAAAATGAGGAACTGTTAAGCAGTCATTAACAAGCACCAGGATGTGGCATGTGAGACAGCAGCAAGACTGGTTTAGTATAACACATTATCAGCATTTTTGTATTTATCAATACCAACTGTGGTTTTGGAAATTTAAATGATAAAAAAAAGAGAGACGACTAGTAAAATTCTAATAACCAATTGGAATGTACAAATTATTTAAAATCAAATATACTATTGTAAAAAAAAAAAACCCCTCCAATATATTCATAAACTATGCACATGCACTAAGAAGGAAAACCGCTGAGTAAATACTTAACCACAAGAACGTACCTGCATGTTCTCTCTCAGATCTGTGGCATCGCGTATAGGGGGCTGGGCATTCTTGAACACCTCATCTACAGTTTTAATCCACAATGTTCTCAAAGATGCATATTCCCTGGATTTCTTCCCTTTTCTCACAGAGAGCCCCCTTTTATGAGGTTTCCCTCCTCCTCTTCGGTTAGTAATAGCCACATGGACAAACAGAGAAGCGTGTGCTAGGACCTCTCCAGTCAATGACTGGAGGGGGACGTGGCGGTAGCCCGTTTGTAAACACTCAAAGGGAATGGTGTACTGACCAATAAATTCGTCCCCAATGTAGTCATCATCTAGTACTACAAAGCGCACCATGGCCAGTTCAGGCAGGTTGATCTGAAATTCAAAGCTTTCATCAAAAATGGGAGCGTCTCCATTCTGGTGCACTGTTTTTGTCCTTTGTTCTGCACAGTCGGCAGGGATCCCGTGAATTTCAACATAGACATAAGGATCCACCACGTCCCCTTTGGCACCGGACCCTTTGGGTTTGGGAAAGTTCTGCCCGCTGATGATTTTAATGTGAAGAAGTTGAGGCGAGACTCCTGGGACAGAGTCCTTCGTATTGGCGCTGAAGAAAGAAACTTCCTCCCTCATGATAGCTGGCCGAAGGACATAGCCACAGTTTCCATTCTGCCTAAACCAGCCAATATTCAGGTCCATCATCAGGCCCGGGGTCTGAAAATTCATGGCTACGATCTGACAGCCACATTTCCAAAAATCTTGAGGGTTCATATTACTAGAGTCAATTCTCATTGGACTGGGAAAAACCCTAGCAAGAAAACGTTTGTTGTAATTCACAAAGTCCCCTGGATTTTCATTGGCGTATTTGCTGGCAAGCACTTCATTAAATGAACAGACTTCCCAGTACTTCTGAACCTGAAATGACACCTGAAATTCTTTGAACTGAACGGACTTGCAGATGCTCACCAGTTCAGACAGTTCTTTACAGAGCTGAAGCCGCTTCACAGGCACGTTGTTGGGCTGCTCCACGTTCTCTTTGCCCACCCTCTGAGACATTTCAGCTCCTTCGTCTTCATCAGTAACATCTCCTTCGACTCCAGAGCAATTTGAGGACAGCTTTTTTGCTTTAATTAGTATCTTCCCTTTCAGGACATCTGGGGATGGCAGATAAGATTCCTCAACATTAGGTGATGTTGTATAGAGCTTGTCACCTAAAATTTTCTTCATGTGTTGAACCATTACCTTTTGTTGTTTAATAGAACAGTGATTTTCTAAACACAAGATAAGAGGATACTCTGAAGCAAAGAATGCATACTTGTTAATAATATCAATGACACTGCGGAAGACTATCTGAGACGTCATGGTGTGGCCCGTGTAAATCACAGGTTCGTTATCTGGCCCATCCCATACATCTAATTCAACACTCCGGCAACCCATTTTAAGAGCTCGAATGTATCCTGTGATATCAGAGGGACCTCGGAACTGATCCTCTATTAAGTATGTATTATGAGATGAGTTTATAAAGTAATGAGACAAAGGTTGCTTCATATCCTGACAGACCTTCTTATGTTCCGGATCAAATATATAACAGTCAGGTGACATAAGGTAATTAGTGAACCCGTCTATGGAGAGCCAGCCCTTTTCCTGACCCTCTTTGGATGGCTCATATTTGTGAATAATTTCAAGGCTTATTTCCTCATTTATATGTGCCACACCCTGTTCTGCCTCAAGAAACATCATAAGGTCCTTGGTATCAAGGAATTCTTTATTGCTTGAAAACTGAACTAAAAGGAAATAAATTTCAGGTCTGGTACAAAGCTCATGGAAAACCTCGACAAATTCTTCCTTTGTGACTTCAGTACCAGCTTTGTCCTTGGATTTGTGCAATTCTTTGAACTTAAGCTCGATTTTGCTGGTTTTTAAGCCTGGATTGAGGTTTCTGATACACTGCACAGCATTACACAGAGTTATATGTCCAAGGTTATCTACATCAATTTCACTAAACATTTGTGAAACCCAAGAAGTCCTCATGTTGTCTTGGCTACTTTCTAACATATCAAGTGTATGTTTTCCATAAGAAATTAGGTACCGCAGTCCCGTAACCCAGATGTTCGCAACGTCTGCAGAGTTGGCAACCAAATCAAGTGACTCATAATTCTCTCCGTATATGACCGAAAACGCACAATCTTCAGATATCTGGTCAGAAATGCCATTGCTGCGGAAAATGTCTGTATTTTTTCCTGTTCTCACTTCCTTGATGGATTTAATATCAATCTTGGCTTTCTCAGAATCCTTTTTAGATGGTTCCCACCTCAGGCTCTGCATGTCGGCATCCAGTAAAAAATACCTATGGTAAATTCTAGAGTTGGAGCGAACCTTTTTGAGTTCTGAACCCTCAACCATTGAGTTGATGCAATCACTTGCACTGCTGATTTTCTTCTCCGTTGGCATGCTGCTGAAAGAGACTGTCTTCTTCCGTTCTCTTTTCTGTTTTGTACCATCCTAGGAGAAAAAAATTAGTGTATTAGAATAACATGAACATTGGTTTCTATGTTCAAGATGAGAAATCAAAATTTAACTTCCTTGAAAAAAAATCATACTATTAGGATTTCCTATTGTATGTCCTATAACGAATGATACTCATTCGCTTCTAAAGCTAAGTAGCTTAGAATTTATAGCTTAATACAAACAGGTAAAAAAATCATTATTGAATAACTGTAAGCCATGAGTGTCAGGAGACACAATTTCAGTAACATTCAATAAAATCTTGTATAGAGAACAGGCTACACAATTTGCAGGGCTCAGGGAAAAATGAAAATGCAGGACTCCTTGTTCAAAAGTTATTAAGAATTTCAAGGGGCCGGCCCGGTGGCCGAGTGGTTAAGTTCTCGCGCTCCGCTGCGGTGGCCCAGGGTTTCACTGGTTCGGATCCTGGGCGCGGACATGGCACTGCTCATCAGGTCATGTTGAGGCAGTGTCCCACATGCCACAACTAGAAGGACCCACAACTAAAAATATACAACTATCTACTGGCGGAATTTGGGGAGAAAAAGAAAAACAAAACAGATTGGCGAGTTGTTAGCTCAGGAGCCAATATTTAAAAAAAAAAAACACGGGAATTTCAAGAAGGTGACAGAAGAACCTTAAGCCAAGTGCGGGGCCCTTCTGAATGTTGGGCCTGTATAACCGCACAGGTCATACACCCACGAAGCAGGCCCTGCCTGCAAACACAGCTCCTACACAAGTGTTTCTCCAAGGATTGTCACTCAACCACTTGCCTCAGAATCACCTGGGTTACCTGGCTAAAGCACAGACTCCTGGGCTCATGGAATCAGAGCTTTAGTGGGTGGTGACCAGGAATTTGCATTCTAGGCAACACTCCAGGTGATGTGGATGTACAGTAGTTTGAAAACCACTTCCTGACCACTTGGACTCACTAAGATGCCTGGGCTATTTCTGGAAACTATATACATATACCAAATGACCAGAAACAGCTAAGTACGAACCATTAAATTGTGTGTTCAGTGAGTAGAGACTGGAATTCCAGCAGAAATTCCTGGCTCTTAGTCATGGTCCTAAATACTTCAGACAGATACCATTGTACTGTTGACCATTGCAGTTGTATGAAGTCTAGGTGGGAGGCCTAGATTCCAGCTGAAGGTGCTTCTAAAATCTCAGAGTTGGATTTCTTAAAGCCTGCTACCAGCCACCAAGTCCATGCTTAGAACAGTGTCACCAGGTCCTTCCAATATTGACAGATGACTAACACCAAGTGAAAACCTTCAGGCAGCATCTATTTCTAAAGAAGTCTGCATCACCAATAACGCAGTCCTCAACTTTGCTGCACAACATAGCAGGTGCCCACCTTAAGGAGCTGACGCCACATCTGTGCACGGATTTAGGTTCTTTCCCGGCACAGATGTCTTTATTATTACAAAAGAAACTGCTCAAATATCTCACAATATCTTTCACAATTTTAACCTAAAACATGATATTGCCTTTCGGGAGGAGTGTGAAATTTGTGATAAATTTTCAGTAAGTCATTATATTCATAAATTAGGGATAGAGATGGAGTTTGGGATTCTATAACTTTCATGGCAATAAAGAAAAGAGCATGCAAAATATTATACAAAGGTGATTCTAACTTTCCTGCTCTGGAGAGAATCTATTTTGAATAAAATCTCTATACTTTAAAAGGCGATTATGCTGCTCTCTATGTACGAAATTTAAAACCACTTTTACTTTTTGACTACCTATACTTCCAAAGCAATTTGCAGAAGGTAATTAAACTTAAACTTTAAATCATGTGGGTATCATTTCCCTGAAAGTTTCAAAATGAACCACAGAGACTTTCGTGATCTGAATGCCAAGATAAAACACAAAAGCCACCAGCCAGAGTATTTCTTTACAACCATATCCTCAAAACAATAAGATGCAAAAGATGTAAAAACTGTGGTAATTGTATCCATAAGATATACTGCATTGTAGCTGTCCCAAGTCCCTAAAGCATAGATCGTATTCCTTCTATCCAAGCGAGTCGGCATGAAATTAAACGTCAGCCATGCACAAGGGCACGAAACAAATGTATAAATTCCCTGTTTTTCAGAATGAAGGTTGTCTTTACCTTTAAAAACACATATTTACCTTTAATAATGACAACATACTAATTAAGGGAATTTTATAATCTTTATAAATTATATCTCAAAGTGCCCCTAGTGAAAATAAGTCACAAAGGTAAATGGACGTGCCTACCCATTAAAAAAATGTATAGCATTTTCTCAACACTGTAATCTTTTATTCTGTCACTTTTAACGTATTGATTAATATTCGACTACCACTTTCTAATTTATTATACCTGATATGTTTCAAATTCATAGATCTCTTTGTTATTGAGAGGGAAAAGCCGAATCGAAAGCAGGTTAATAACACACATATGTGCTCACACACCCACATCTGTGGGACAGGCGGCAGCTTAAATATCATACTTGTGGCTTTTTAAACATCGTTAAACATTGCCTTGCATTTCACGAGCCAGTCCAGGCTTTGATTGGTGACTTCTGATCACTGACTGCAGACACATGAACATGACAGTCACCCAAGCACAGGCTGCTGTAAAGACAGCAGGGACTCTCCTTACCAGAGACTTCCCGTCTCTTCTTCCCCCTCTTCGGCTGTTGCCTAGAACCATCTGTCCTCTCATAGTACACCGAGGCCTGAATGAAAAGGTCTGTTTCTCCTTCCTCACTAGCAGATAAAGCTATTAGAAAACATTGATAGAGGAGTGTGCTTGCTTAGAGACCACAAAGGAGGACAGGTGTGAGCTTCCACTAATCCCTGGATGGACCAGAATCACTGGCTGGAAGCAACAGTGGATGTAAAGGCAAGCTGGTCCCCTGCAGCCAAGAGGCAAGGAACAGGAGGCCAGAAGCACTTGTGTGGAGGGAAGGAGAACTGAGGTTCAATAGCAGGAGCTCCAGGACCCCAACTTGCCTGACTCCCGGAATCTTTATCCCCCTCCTGTTCATTTCTACCTGTCTTTCTCTTTTTAGCCCAGTAGTGATCAAGTACTTGCATAAACTAAGACGCTGGTCAGTAGCAGAGTTGGAATCTATTTAACTGTATTGCCCTTAGTGTCAATTACTTTAAATTTAATAACGAAAACTGTGATCAAACTATTTGTGTTATACATATAGTTTTTTTAACTAAAAGAAAACTAAATGCATATAACTTACATGCACCAATCACCTAAAACCAGAGGAAAAAACACAAGTTTCTGCTGAGATAGAGGTGCCTCAAAATATTTTTAAAAATAATATAAATTATGTTTCAGAGCTGGCTCTTAAACTGTAAGTACTCATCACCTAAAGCTTCTGAGTGGTGAAAACAACAAAATGCAAGCTTGCTCCACTGTGCATTTCTGCTACTCCCTTAGCTCTTATTAACATCCAAGCAGGAACACAAAACGAAAGTCCAGTCTGGAAGGAAACCAGCTTCCAAAAGAACCCACCTCCATATCAAGCCTGAAATTGTGAATTCTAGATAAAAAAAATTATAAAATTTTGAACTGGAAAAAAGCTTAAAGATTCATTTATACATTTAACCAAGATTTATTTACAGATGAACAATTTTGTACCAGGAATGATTTAAGAAAGCAATGAACTAGAAAGAGGCTAAGCAAACTTTTTTGCACCACAGCAAATTCAGGAAGAATAAAAATGTTTATAGAACTTACATGTAACATTAAAAATGGACATAGCCATATTGAGCCCCATGGAAAGACATACATATTTCTAACAGACTGCTTACTTTATTTAACAGAAGCTTGCCACTACCTTTTGGCTAACAATATTATCATCTGGGATATTTAAGAGGTAATAGCAATTTCATAAATGGGCGTGGGCAGTTTTATAAATGCTCATCCTGAAATGAGGTAACGAATAGGTGGCCTCATTTCTTCTGCTGGCAAAGTGCTTGGCATTGATCCACTCAATCGAGCTCACATGGAGAAGAGGAAGCCAATCTGAGGGGTTGGAGCCTCGTCTCAGGGCACACGGTTAGCATCCTGCTGGAGGAGAATGGCCTCCAGTGTCCTAATGCATTCCTCTCGTATTTCAAATTTGATTGGCTTCCATTTTCTGTTAGATTATTTCTCAACAAAAACCAGGAGAAAATGATGACCCAGTATCCAGATTCCAGACACTGGCAACACTAGTGAAGGCGTCGAGGCAGTGATGCTGGGGGGGGGGAGCATCGCAGATGGGGAAGAGGATGTGCTGTGAGAACAAAGCAGCTGTTTATCCTTCTGGATTATTTTGAGTCAAGTTATTTAATTTGACTTATAAATAACATTAAAGTAGGGTATGAGATCTTTATGTTTATTGAAGGGGGTCTATGATTAAAGAGAGCCGAGAAACACTGAGTTAAAGAAATTTCTATCCTTAACAAAACAACATCAAACAAAACACCCCCAGAAAGGACCTGAGGCCGTTGGAGCGAACACCGCAAGGCCTGCCCTTTCTTCAGCTTAGTGCCAACAACTCTGAATGGCAAGAAGTCATGCCGGGCACATCGGGGTCACCTTGCAAGAGCTGTCATACATCTTTACAACTTTGATGTGCTCTCCAAGATGAGCAAAAAGGAAAAAAAAATGGATCTGGAGCAAAAACGGTCACTGTGAAGGTCGTTTTATAAAATCAGATGAATAGAAAAAGAATCAAATAAGTTGGAGAAAATCGAGGTATGGTCAAATGCTGCCTCCCACTCACAAGGCACAGCCCTTTATTACAAGTAACAGAAAGCTCCTTGGCCCGTGGATGCCTCTCCTCATGCGCCTCCTCCTCCATGACGCCCACTACTGTATTCTAAAAGCTCGCCCAGCCCAAGTTTGGCAAGACTCTATGAGGGCACAGATCTGCTAATGGCTTCAGAACCTGTGGGTGACTTGAAAGTCACAAATGTGGGCCCGTACAGTTCAGATGATAGCTTAGAACGCAGAAATCCAAAAAAGAATGTCACTCCCACTCTAACAAGAAAAAGCCAGACTATAAAATCATATCTTTTCTTGTATCCATCAGAGAACTGTGGTCACAAGGTAACCAAGGGAACTGAATTCCAAGAGTGACAAGCCCTTCCAGGGAAAGACAGGACGTAGAAACTGTTCCATGTCTGGCAGACCATGGGAGGAAGAGGCCACCATGGAAGCAGGTAAGAAGAAATCAGCCAAAATTTTAAGGAGTTCTGGAAGCCGAGTGTGGGCTAGCACATCAGTTTAGAGTAACTGGGAGCCCCGGATGCAGGCAGAGTTTGTACTCACTTGTAGCCTTCTTCATGAGTGCGCCTGAGAAAGACTGGGGACAGAGCAGGAGAAAGGGTCCTTCTCCAGGGCACAGGCCTGCAGCAGGTGACAGCTGCCACTGGGGAGAGCATCAAACTCTGCCTACTTCCCCAACCACTCTCTCACATGAAGCAAACACCTTAAGCCACTGGGGGAAGGGTAGAAGCAAAATCCATCTACCTCTACAGCCAGGCAAAGATCTACTGCCCCAAGAGATGGAAGAACCTCTTAGACTCAGGAGCCTGCACCATGCAAAGCAGAACTGTGCTACCACCAGGAGAGAGGCAGAAAACTATCTCCTGCCCAAACTCACCACAGATCCAGGCAGAGTTTGGCTGCCTTGGGGAGCAGGGCAGAAATGCTGGGAAGGTCCCGCCCCCGAGACCCAGGTGCAGAGGGCTGCCTAAGATTGAAACTAGACCAGGAGGACTAAGAATTCCCCGACTCTACCAGAAGCCTAGCACCAAGTAGCAAGCCGTGTACCACGGAGGAGGGGCAAGACCATGGAAAGAGACCCATTTCTAACACAGGCATTCGCAGATGAAAGCTAAGGGTAGAACAGGAACAATGGGTAAACACTCCAGGACCCTAGCCCCCACCCAAACACAAGGTTATGGTGGCCCTCTGGTTGAGGAATCTGAAGTCAGTGGTATACTGAAAGTAACAATAGTAATTCAAAACACAAACCCAGCTCAATTATTGACTAGACTGACTCAACTTCCTCAACACCAATGACTTGGAAGAAGAAGAGGCGTGTTCATGTCTGAGCATAAATATTACTTACCTTAGCCTCTATTAAATATGATGTCTAGCATTCAACGAAAATTACAGGACACACACACACACACACACACACACACACACACACATGCACACAAACACACACAACATAAGGAAAAAAACCATCATCATGAGATAAAGCAATCAACAGAGCCAGACTCTGAAGTGACCTAGATGTTGGAACTATTGGACAGGGACTTTAAAACAACTATTATTGGGGGCTGGCTCAGTGGTGTAGTGCTTAAGTTCACACACTCTGCTTTGGTGGCCCAGAGTTTGTAGGTTCCAATCCTGGGCACAGACCTAGCACTGCTCATCAAGCCACACTGTGGCAGCATCCCACACAAACCAGAGGAAGAATTGGCACAGATATTAGCTCACTGACAATCTTCCTCAAGAAAAAGGAGGAAGGTTGGCAACAAATGTTAGCTCAGCAGCAATCTTCCTCAAGCAAGAAGAGGAAGATTGGCAACAGATGTTAGCTCAAGGGAAATCTTCCTCACAAAAAAACACACTACAAAAAACAAAAAAACAACTATTATTAATATATAAAAAAAGGTCTAGTGAGGAAAGTGGACAATATTCATGACCAAATGGCCTATTTCAGCAGACAGATGGAAAGTACAAAAAACAGTCCAGTGGAAATGCTATTTAAAAACCCCACATATCAGAGATAACGAATTCCTGTGATAGGCTTATAAGCAGACGGAACACAGCCAAAGAAAGACTCAGTGAACTTGAAGAGAGGTCAACAGAAATTATCTGAACTAAAACACAAAGAGATAAAAGAGTGAAAAAACACAAAACAGGGCATCCCACAGCTGTTGTGTAACATACAGGAAAATAGAGTCCCAGTAGGAAAAGAGGGAGAGAGAATATGGCAGAAGAAGTATTTAAAGAAATAATGTCCTAGAATTTTCCAAAATTAGACTCAAGAAACTCAAGCAGGATCACACACACACATACACCCCTACATGTATCATAGTCAAACTGCTGAAAAACAAACACAAGGAGAAAAGCTTTAAGGTAGCCAGACTAAAACAGAAAGTTACATGCAGAGGAACACGGATAAGAACTATAGTCCAGATGGATTATAGGTGATGCACCTACATCTAACCACCGGTTGTCTACTTGACCCAGCTTGCAAATGTACTACATATAATAAATAGTTTTATGGGAAAAGTTATTCCCTTTTTAACAGACGATTCCTTTTTCCCCTGTTCCTAAATTTCCCCATGCTTCCACAGACAAAGGTGCCCCTAATCTAGATGTAAGTCTTCAAGGGGTCACAGCTGGGTTTCAGAGGCCCCACAAGACTGTGATTGGATTCTGAAAGTAATTTGCAAACCCATCCCTCTTGCTTTAAAAGTCATGAATCATGGCCTTATTAACTCAACTTTAGAAGGCAAAGAAAAAGATTATCATTTCCTAAGAAAGAATGTCAGCCTTAAATGTTAAAGGCAAAGGATAAATGTTTTACAGGGTCATAAAGGAAATTTTAAGGCAATCCTAACGAGAAATGACAAAGTGACAGACAGGACAGAGAAAGGAAACTATATAATTTATGGATATAGGTAATAGAATTTTACTAATAAAAACAGCAAAATCAATCAATCATAGAAAGAGCTCTTATTTACAGCTGTGAAATGGTTTTCTTTATTCCAAGGTAGAACAAAATAATCCAATAGTTTATAAACTTTCTAGCTTAGAAATCACCCACAGAAATACTATGGGCCACAGGATGTGAGCTAGCACTGCATAACTATGCCTCAGTCTTTCCACCTGTAAAATACAGATCAAAAAAATTCCTACACCCTCCAGACGCTATGTACAGTTCCTACTTCATAGGGTTGTTATAATGATAAGTTGAGTTTGTATTTGCCAAGTGCTCTAAATGCTGCCTGAAATTTTGTACATTAGACCCTGTTCAGTAAACACATTTCAGGCTGAAATTATTTCTCCATGAACGAAAAGTAAAAGGAAATACTATTATAAAGGTCTAAGTGCAATACTCTGATCACTTAGGGTTTGTTGAAAGTCAGTCCCATCCCAGAAGAAACGGAATGAATGTCACTCTCTGTGGGTCTTGTTTAACTGCGGCCCTTACTTAATACTACCAGAGAACTCTGGAGCACAACCAAACAGATGTGACGCCCAAGATATACCGGGAAACTGTCAAAGATGGCCTGATGCCCTCTCAAAATAAAGCTTCATAAGGGTGTTTCCTCACATCTATAGGGAACAAGTAAGTAAAGCATTTCTTAAAGTCTTTGTTAATTTTATATCCCATCAATTTAGTTAAAATTACAATTTAACTCATGTATAAGTATCCATATATAAAAATAAAAATTTAAAGCAATGATCTCCATAGTATTTTTGTCTAAAAAATAACCAAATGACTTCACTCAAAGCACTTTCTGATCAGAATTATTCAGATGATTCCTTCTACTTCATACTACCATGCTATTTCTCACAGTGTTCAAAACAACTATACATAAGGAAAACAAATTTCCAATTCCTGTAAAATGAAGTTTTCAAGGCCAGGTTAAAGCTTCCAAATCATTTGATGTAATGGGTTACACCTGCTTTTAAAACAATGGGATCTTTAATTATGAAATTTGAGGACTGTAATGGAACATAATATATTCATGACAACACTCTTTTGGCGAAACATTTTCACTACTACTGAAATATGTACTCAGAGTAAATTTACAAAACCATAACGTACATCTGTGTCCAATGTCAAGTGCAATAAAATTCGTTGGTTTTCTTCAGTAATGAAAAACTTAATGGTGAGCACTGAGCTCCTATAAACTACACTAGCACTACTTTATATTCCAGTGAAAATATTGATGCTAATGAACTGTAATTTATGATCTATAATAATGGTACTTAAGTGGCCCACTTTGGTGTGAAAACTGTCAGTGTTTCTCACCTGTGTGTATGGTAACTCCTTATTCAGCACATTATAAAGCCTGTTGACTTCCTATACTACAGAGCTATTGCAAGATGTGGTTACATAACTTTAATTGTTAATAACTGTCTGGTAAATCATACTGAATTTTAAAAGCTATGCAAGTCACATCACATACTATGAATTCTTACCTATAAATATGAACAACTCTAAGAGTAACTTCTCAATCATAACTTTTCCCCCTAAATTGTGCTCTTTCTTCACTATTTCAGGATATCTTAGGAGGAAGAATTTACTTTTCTCATTTTTTTAATCCTTAAATCTGTCATCGCATGGCATTGAGGGAAAAATGATGACAATCCAGGGGTAGTCAGAAGTCAGAATGAAGCTTCCATAGAGATCCAGATGCTGGCAAAGCCGCTGCCTTGGGCCACAGACACCAAAGAAAAGGAAGAATACTAGCTCTTTCAGTCAGAAATTTTAACATTTCCACAATTATTTTAAAATTAAAAATTTTTAAGGAAAAATGCTTCACTGACAATTTATTATGCAATCATATTATTATTATTGTCTTTCTATCTTGTCCTGCAGGGAAAACAACTTCTTCCTGGGGCATTTTTTAATGCAATGGTTTATTTGCATATGAAATTAGTATGCGTGTATAAGAACAATTAGACCAGGAAAACGAAAAAAAAAACCACAAAATAATGAATCATAAAAAAGGGAACAGCTTTATACAAAATATTCTTTTAAGTTTCAAGCCATTCATGAGGCTGTACTAGTCCAGCCCTCAATGTTGTCTCTTCTCCTACTAATACATATTTATAGTCTCTACCCTATAATTTAACACTTAATTATAGTCTTATTCAGTTCTTTAATTGTTTCATGTGGGTTAGCCTTATCTCCTCAAGTAGAAAGTGAACTTTCTGAGGAGATGGGCCATGTCTTACATTCTACAACCCCTGGCTGGACCGATGCTGGCAGTCAGAACAGTAACCCCTTTTGATGAAGTGATAATTTAAATGATAAAGGAGTCAATCCAACAGGAGAATATAACATTTGTAAATATTTATGTACCCAACATAGGAGCACCTAAATACATAAAGCACATATTAACAGACCTAAAGGGAGAAATAGCAATATAATAATTGTAGGGGACTTTAACACCCCACTTTCATCAATGGATTGATCATCCAGATAGAAAATCAGTAAGGAAACACTAGCCTTAAACAATGTTAGACCAGATGGACTTAACAGACATATATACAATATTCTGTCCAAAAGCCAACAGAATACACATTTTTCTGAAGTGCACATGGAACGTTCTCCAGGACAGATCATATGTTAGGCCACAGGACAAATCTTACTAAATTTAAGAAGACCGAAATCACATCAAGCACCATTTCCAACCACAGTAGTATGAACAAGAAGAAACCTGGAAATTCACAATTGTGTGGAGACTAAACAATGCAGTATTAAACAACCAATGGGTCAAAGAAGAAATAAAAAAATACCTTGAGACAAACGAAAATGGAAATACAACATACCAAAAGATATGGGATGCAGCAAAAGCAGTTTTAACAGTTCATAGCGATAAATGCCTACATGAAGAAATAAGAAAGACCTCAAATACACAACCTAATTTTACAGCTCAAGAAACTAGAAAAAGAACAAACTAAAGCCCAAAGTTAGAAGGAAGGAAACAGCAAAGATTAGAGTGGAAAGAAACGAAATAGAGACTAAAAAGACAATAGAAAAGATCAATGAAACTAAAAGCTAGCTTTTTGAAAAGATAAACAAAACAGACAACCCTTTAGCTAGACTCACCAAGAAAAAAAGAGAGAGGACTCTAATAAACAAAAGCAGAAATCAAAGAGGAGACATTACAACTGGTACTAGAGAAATACAAAGGAAGAGTCTGAGGAGGACTGATGTTAATTCTTCTTTAAGTGTTTGGTAGAATTCACCAGTGAAGCTGTCTGCTTCCAGGCTTTTCTTTGTTGAGAGGTTTTCACAACAATTTTAAAGCACTTACTTTTTAGCAAAGTGCTTTCCATACACATCACATGCTGCTATTATTGAGATGCCTCTAAGATGTGTTATTTACTTATTATACATTATATACATGTGCTAGCTACTAACAGATTGTGTACACAGGAAAACATCCACAAAACTAAACTGAAGGTCTAGTATTTTCTTCCAGCCTCATCCAGCACGGCAACTACAGCTCTCAACCATGAGCCCCACGCTCAATGCTATGGCCCAGAGGGCTTCACAGGCCCCTCCTTGGCTTGGAGCTCTCAGTCAAAAAAACCTTGCAGGTCTTCTCCACGGATCCTGAGTCTCCACCTCAGAGAGCTGGTCCCAGCTGGGGTGGATGCTCCATGCCATCCCTTTCTTCTTGTTCTTCACCCAAACAGCCCTCTGGCCAGGTCCCTCAGACCCCCTAACTCCTGGTGCACTCTACCACTCACTCTGCTCTGCCTTCCAGGAAGAAGGAATAACAAGAGCAAAGACCCCGAGGCTCAAGCGAACTTGAGTACTCCAGTGCTAAATGGAGACCAGGGTGGCTGAAGGGTAGTTAGCTGGGTGAGACTGGAAGGAGAGGAAACCACAGAGAGAGGCAGAGACCAGATCCTGCAGAATCTTATGGGAAGGCATTTGGATTTCATTCTAAGGGCAACTCCATGAAGGACAGTGTCGTGATCTGATTTACCCTTTTAATACAGTGCCAAGTGGAGAGTGGATTAGAAGGGGGTAAGAGTGGAGGCAGGGAGATAGTTAAGAGAAAACTACAGTACCCCAAACATGGGATGATGATAGTTGGGACCACAGTCGTGACAGCCAAGGTGATGAGAGGTGGATGGCTTCAACATAATTTAAATGATAGAGCTGACAATATTTGCTGATGGACTGGATGCAGCACATGAGAGAAATGGAGAAATTAAGATAATTGTCAAGTTTCTGGCTTGATTAAATGGTGCCAGTTATTTAGATGGGGAAGGTTAAGGAATAGATTTTTGGGGGGAAATCAGTACTTTTGTTTTGAATGCGGTAATTTGGAGATGCCTCTAGACATTCAATTGGGGATGTCAAGTAGGCAGTTAAATTTACGAATCTGGAAATCAGGAGAGAGGTCAAGTCTACAGATATAAATTTCGAAGCCATGGTACATTGGTGGCCACATGAGCTTACCTAGTGAAGGAGGAGAGAGGGAAAGAGAAGACGGGCTGGGCTTGAATCTGGTGCTTCCAATATTTTAGGCTGGGTAGAGAAAGAAAGACCAGCAAAAGAAGCAAGAAAGTAGAAGCCAGAGATGTAATAGTGACTCCAGAAGATTGTGGTGTTACAGCAGCCAAGAATAAAGTGTTTACATAATAATAGAGTAGTCAAGAATGCCTCTGAGAGGTCAGGTCAGAAAAGTGAAGTATGCTTAATATTAGCATAGTCTCTCCAGCCTTCTTATGGTTGCTGTTTGCATGATACATCTTTTCCCGTCCTTTTGCTCTCAACCTATTTGCATCTTTGAATCAAAGTGTAGACAGCATACAGTTGGATCTTTTAAAAAGAAATACAGTCTGACAATCTCTGTCTTCGATTGGATTATTTAATCCTTTCACATTTAATGTTATTGTTGATATAGCTGGATTCACATCTGCTACTTTACTTTTTCTTTTCTATATGTCTCACGTCTTTTCGTTCCCTTATTCCTTCTTTAATGTATCCTTTGATGTTAAGTTAGTGAGGTATGTTTGAGATGTGGCAGGACAGAGTTCTTTGGTGACCCTGGCAGGAGCAGTCTCCGGGTAGTAAAAACTGCCAAAAGGCCTTCTGGAGCGAGCTGGAGACTAAAAGGGAAATGAGGAATGGAGACAGTGGGCGTAGTTAACTCTCTGGAGAAGGAGCCAGGGAAAGGAATTGGTAGGTAGTGGGAGAGAGAGAGTGTTTTTCTGTTTATTCAGATTAAAGATATCAGAGCAGGTTTCTATGCTGAAGGAATCTGTCCAGTAAAGAACGGGAAATTAATGATACAGGAGAAAAGGAACAGATCTCTGAAAGAACAAAATCCTTGGGAAAGCACGAGGAAATGGGATCGTCATTCGCTTTCCCCAGGGCGTGACTTTTGAGCTGGATCCTGATGGAAAATGAAAGGGAAGGGAAGGCTAATCAGAGGGAACAGCATATGCAAAGACATGAGAGAGGAAAGAGCCTACACTGTTTGAAGCAGCTCCTGGGGCCCAGGGGCAGGGAAAGGGGAGGCTGGATATGAACCCTGCGGGCCACACTGCGGAGTGAGGCCACCAGCCTCTGTGGGAGAGGAGTCAGTATCTCCTCTGAGAGTCCTCTGCAGCCTTGGGAGGGCATGTTCCTGAGCCATAGACAGAAAAAATCAAATATATACACAACTGATAATCATGTGCATTTTTCCTGTGTGCAAATACAACTCACCACTTGTTTTAAAAGGTCAACAAATGAAAAAGGCCTCATTTGTTTTACCACTTTAGGAATCACCAGCCCATTCATGTAGGTATTTATTTTGTTTCTGCCTTAACTGTCTAATGAAACTGAGCTATATAATGTTTAAATGTTATACAGTTTATCGACCCTCTGAATGAATGAATGAACTCAAAGATTACCACTTGAAGGATTACCATTTTAAACACTAGAGAGAAACCTGTATACTTTTTCTGTGTGTGCGTGTGTGTGAGGAAGATTGACCCTAAGCTAACATCCGTTACCAATCTTCCTCTTTTTGCTGAGGAAGATTAGCCTTGAGATAACATCTGTGTCAATATTCCTCTACTTTTTGTATGTGGGATGCCGCTACAGTATGGCTTGATGAGCGGTGCATAGGTCCACGCCCGGTATCCAAACCCATGAACCCCACGCTGCTGAAGCAGAGTGCATGAACTACACCACCAGGCTGGCCCCGAAACCTGTATATTTTTAAAATAACTTTTCAAAACAGTTACAATTATCTCAAAGCATTTAGCACACATTTTTACAATCCAATTTTTTTTAATTATTGAAAAATTTAAAAAATTATAGTCAGTTCCAAACCTACTGCTTTTCTACTTAGAAGTGTTATGTGCAAATAAAGATTTTCTAAAACAAACATCTGCTGAAGGGGCACAGATATTCACAATCTTTGTATCTACTCGACTTACAGCAACAACATACACACACTTTGTCACGCCCACAGTAAGCCCCTTTTTCTTTTTTAAAGCCACATTTGTGTTAAGAAATCAATAAAAAGGCCAATGCCTACGTGGCAGGAATCCGTAAAACCTGAGCAACTGATCTAGAGCCTTTGCAAAATAGAGCAATGCCAACTTGGATGCAGCAGGTCCGGTTGTGCCATTTTCCTGAATCATTGTATACCCTTTGAAAACCACAAGTCCCTTCCAAATTAATTAGCTCATCAAACTGAAATGAAAAGCAGTTTTAAAACCAGCGAAATCTCATCATTAATGCATTTTTAAACTGTCTATGCTGACGGTGACTAAAGCAATTTAACTGCTTCGATGAAATGTTGTGTCACCATTTCCAGCCCTCATTGCTCTAAGTCCTAACTATCGAGAGAAAACTACAAGCACCAAATGTGCAATTAATTCCATGCAGCAGGTACAAAACTCATTCTAAACACAGCTTCCTGAACCTAGCTCATGTTTGAAATAATACAACACAGAACACATTATTAATAGGGGTCTCTAGCCATTTGGTGTAGAATAAAAACCAAGCAGCTCAGGCAATCCTACAAAGTACACACTGTAAACTTCAGTTTTGAGAGTTGGAACTAGAAGTGCTTTTTATTAATATGCTTCAGGATCCTGGTGTGAGAATGAAATATAGGCACTTACAAGGCATGCTTAGATTTCATCTAAAGGTATTAAAATGTAAGCTTAAAATGCCACATTTAATTATACTGTATTTTATTTCATTAAGCTTATCCAGGAGTAAAAACAAGGACTAATTCTGAGTCTACTTGCCAACTAATCACCAAAAGCCCTTACTAAGCAGGATGCCGTCCTCATTCCAAGAATCAGGCTGCTATACCAACTACCACTTCT